ACAAACAGCACTGCCCGGTAAACCGTAGGCAGAGAGAGAGAAGAGGACAACAAACGAGGGGCTGTGACAAACTTTTTCGTCGGAGTTTCACCGACTCATCAGGAGGCTTATATATATATATATATATATCGTCAGTGAAACTCCGACGAAAGAGTTTGTCACAGCCCCTCGTTTGTTGTCCTCTTCTCCCTCCCTCTCTGCCTAAGGTTCACCGGGCAGTTCTGATAATATCTATCTATCTATCTATATATAGCTACAGCAGGCAGATATCAGCAGCTAGCTGCAGACGATAATTAGTTCACCATTGATGAACCAGCAAAGAGGACCAGATATGAAATCCGAACCTGACTGAGGGCCTCGTTGCCAGAGCCTGAGGAACAACCCCACCCGTGCGTTTTTTATAGAAAGGGACAATCACCCCTCCGTCCCTCCGTATGACACCTCTGCTGGTGCGATTTTCAGTGGTAGAAAGTTTGACCCTGGCAGTCATTAAGCCCAGGCATACGCACCCCCTGCCTCACTAAGGCCTGCACACGATGAAAAACAGGAGAGCCTGCCATGCTTAAATCTGCCCTTTTTTCTTTTTTTGAAGGCCAGGCTCCCTCTTACTTTGCATATGTACATATCTGGAGCCTAGCTTAACAACCCATGAGTTGTTAAGCGACCAGCATATCTGGAGAATCCAAATGATCCTCTCCAAAAAGTTAGGGGCCTCGGGACAGGGCGCGCCCCCCCCCCGCTCCCCCCCCCCACCCTCAGCACCTGGGCATTTTTTTTGTTCTTTGACAGCATGGCCGACTCTGTAAATATGACACCACGGCCGTCGGTACTTTCGTTGCCTTTTCGAACTCGGCACGGTTTTCTTTGCCAGCTTGAGATCCTGTCTCTTATACACATCTAGATGTGTATAAGAGACAGGTATTTGGGTGGCTCATGTTTTTTTTAACAATTATTTAGGAGAGGTTGCTGAGATGACCGTTTTCCTTCTTTTTTGGGCCCGACCGTCTTCTCCCGAACACAACGTACGGTGATTATAGCTTTTTTTGGGTGGCTCATGTTTTTTTTAACAATTACAAAATAAATGAAAGTCCTGCGCCAACTTGCAGGTGGAATATGAACCGGAACTGACGCTCCCCAGAATGGTTTATGAAGCCACGGCCGCCATAAGGCCCTGTTTAACAAAAAAAAAAAAAAAAAAAGGTCCTGTGCCATGCATCCAACACTGCTACACAGCTCATCCCTCCCAGAATTTTTAAAGCGTCATCAGCATGGAAATCGATTGGCTGCAGACCGCAGCCTGACCTGCAGTGACCTCCCCCAATGCATCTGGAACCGTGCCCAACCTGTGCGAAACCCCTGCAACCCATCAGCTTCTGCCTCTCGTATCGCGTCCCCCTTCTTTCGCAGAATCCTTATCAGCGCTGAAGGCGGCGTCCGGAGCATCCACTCTGGATCCTGCACATGCATTCAACCTCGTTGGTCAGTCCTTCACCACTACTCAGCGTACTCACCCTCCTTCCACTCGCAGAAGCTCAGCACGCAATCTGCTCGACTCCCCTGTCGAAGAGGGAAGTTAGTGTGCTGCTTAGTTAGCACACAATCAGGTTGTCTCCCCTGTGTCAAAGAGGGAAGTTGAAATGCATCCTCTGTGATTCCTGTGTGTTTGTTAAAGTTAAACTTTGTTTCAAACAAACACATCACATAACAATCTGTTTCAAATTTCAATAGCCGTCAACCTCTCACGCGCGGTTGCGCTTAAGGGCACTCACACTCACGCTACGACTTTATTGGCTGGCTGCTGCGGGAAGGCGCTTCGCATTCATAGGGCATAGCCTGGTCACCCCATCATCAGCAGCAGCAGCGGTTCAAGTGCAGCTGGGCAATTTATTTATTTATTAAATTCTTTACATTTATGAATGAATCAATGAATGAACGAGTGCAGTGAAGTGAAGAAGTTGGCATTCCTCTCCAAGAAGAAAAATTCCAATGATGCTTGCCGACCGACACAGGTCATCAATGTCAATCACTCACTGTGCCATCCTCCTGGTCCTTGGTTTCGTATTCCAGTGTCCCGCCCCCGCAAACCGCAGACGGTCTGCTCTAATCCACCGTTACCATCATGATTCAACTTGATGATCCTAGAGATCACCTCCTACGGCCGCTATTACTTGCAGGGCTATACAACTTCCACCCAAGTGCATGCGCCCATTCAAAAATCATGCTACTCGTTCAAAGGCGGGACATGCAAACTATCAGCGGTTCCTCCTACAGGTAACCTGGTCGATCACCGCCCGCTACATGCGACATATGCCTAACCGAACATGCGCATCAGCATCAAACACCTCACCAGAGGGAGAAGATGACACCAAGGAACGACAATTCGGAGTCAACGTCGTTCCCTGGTCGTTCCTCAGTGTCATCTTCTCCCTCTGCTCGACCCTCTGCACGACGATCCAACGCTGTGCTCCTCATCAACACCATCTCTCATCTCTCATGTTCTCGATTTAATTCACCTCTCTCTTGTTGCCAGATTAGCACACATGTGCTCTACCCTTGCGGCACGAGACATGCCCAATTGAACGTGGCATTCGGACACCTCACCAGAGCCTGAGGGCGAAGGCGCCGAAGGGGGACTAGAACCGGGGCATCTGTCCACAGGACCCTACTATGCACTATGCACCCCCCTCATCAATCCCATCTCTTGTCGTCTCCAGAGTCCATACCCTTCTCCTTTCCTTCCTTGTTGCCAGGTCGACACACATACGCTACGGTAGTAGCCATAATATGCACTCCGGCGCATCGCATTCGCTGCTGAAAAGGGCGGTAAGCAGTTGCACTCGACAGCGACGACAGGTCCCTCTTCCGGGCTTGCTGACGACAGGGGTAAGCAGTTGCACTCGACAGTGACGACAGGTCCCTCTTCCGGGCTTGCGCGTGTCGTCAGCACCTTTATACAACACTCAAACTCTCACACCTTTGATCATCGGTGCCGTTTTCCTGTGTCCAATCATCATCTGTCGCACGCTCTTCCAACTTCATCATGCCAGCAACAATGATGCAACTTTCCCATCTTCTTCCACTTGAAACTTAGTTATTTTTAGGCCATGTCCTCCAGCTTCCAATTAGCAGATTCACCACAATGTCATATTATTGACGCACTTCTGCAGCTTCTGCCTGCCTGTGTGCACATATTTACTTGTACTCGTCTTTCTCTTCGCAACTGCAGTGTCACTCTCTTTCCTTTGAATGGCGACGATTCGCCGGTGGAGACTGCCTCCCACGCGTCAGATCTCCTTCCATCATCTTCACCGTCCCTCACGCGTCGGATCTGCTTCCATCATCTTCACGTGGTGGGAGCCCGCACAGGGGGAATTATTCCTTTTATTAATCAAATAATAATTATAACTTACAAGCAAATTAAGTTAAATTTTATTAATTGGCTGGAGAAATTGCATCGGATATGCAAACTATGAGCACATGCACACTTGCATCGCCTCATAAAACAATAAGCCATTATTCAATTTATTCTTGAATTTATTATTCAATTCCATGTACTAATTGCAAATTTAATAAAATTTTAATAAATTCAGTAATGATAGTATAACCACCACTAAAAAATATGTATGTAATATGTATGAACGCGAGAAGTACGTCCGCCTCTCACTCACACCTCAGAACCAAGCCACAAATAACTTCTCAAGGTCTCGGACGCCATTGCTCTCCCGCTGAATTGCTACAGTACTTTTTGTGAGGATATATACATCTGTACACGAAACCCGTGTAGTAGCGTGTACATGTACTCCGGGCTACCCAGATGTCTCTTCTGGAAAATCTGCCTGTCGGCACGTGCATTCGCATCATTTGGAAATATAAAAGAGGAATATATTCCCAGGTCTCCATGGCCAAATTGAACAAGACTCCTTGTTCAGTCTCCGGACATTAACTGAGCGTCCACTTCCCTGCTATAAATTAGAAAGACTTTAGGGAAGGACTCCATCCCCTGCGGCAAGTGCCACTTCCCACGCTGCCGACTTTCGCAATGAGTCCTGCATTGCTGCTGTTGCTGGCCCTCTTCAGTAGTTCTGCACCAGCTTGCGGATGTATACGGCATCACAGCCACCGCCCATGAAAACCATTGCACTTTACCCATTGCTACGGCTGCTACTGGCACCTGTGCTGCTGCTCCTGCTGTTACTCAGTATATCTATCAAGATACCCACAGTGTCTCTCTCTCAGTATATCTATCAAGATACCCACAGTCTCTCTCTCTCTCTCTCTCTCTCTCTCTCTCTCTTTCTCTGTGTGTGTGTGTGTGTGTGTGTGTGTGTGTGTGTGGGTATGTATCCCCGAAGGGATCACATGCAGGCCACAGATCACACACCACCCACGCTTAGGCAGCAACGACTGAACTCTTCACTGCTAGGCAAAACCTGTTCCCGAAACGCTTGCCCGGTTTTACGTCGCAGACCCAGCCTACCAAATCCACGGTGAAGTGGGAGGCCAAGAAGGCCCGTAAGCTTTGTTCACCCCCAGCAGTCCTGCTGGCGTGCCTCGGCTCAGCTCGTAAGGCTTTGCCTACCAGGCGATGGATGCCTAGAAACCATGAAACACCTAACTACTGCTGGGGCAAACCTGTTGCCCAGAAACTGTTTCAATGTGGCAGACACAGCCTCCCGGCAGGATCGTGCTAAACAAACAGCCTGCCAAATCGCCGTCGCCGTCGCCGCCGCCGCCAAATCGCCGCCGTTTCAAAAAAATATTACAATGTAAAACTTACTGCTTCAGATTTTAAGTTTAGCGAGGATTGGTGGCAACAACCCACCACATCGCCGTCACCGCCGCCGCCAAAGCAAAAAGCCTGCACAGCTCTTCCAGCTGCAGCAAGAGGATTATCTTCTGGCGAGAAGAACTTATTAGGGCTACAGTCACACCACCCCTGCTCATGCTATTTACAGGCAACTACTTGGAAAACAGAGCTGGGTCACGCCTTTGGAGAACCTAATTTGGTACCCCCTTTACTATGTCTTCCAGAGTCTTCTCCTGTACTACATCACATTGTCACCCCAGAGTTTTGCCTACCATGCGGCACAGGCGAGAGATCAACACTCGAAGCCGGCCAACACTTCTGCTGTTGTCCTAGACTCTAGGCTCCATAACCAGTGCTCGAAATCAATCGGATCCTCATCACTGACATCACCCCATCTGATGTGAGAGCATCCTTGAACAACAACGAACTAACTATGCGCAGCAGCGGTGAGGGTTGTCCATCTTCTCCGTGCAGGCACTCGTATTGCTCCATCGTGGATGTCTGTCGCCCTGCGCCCAAGGCTTCCTTGCAGCTTGACGGCCTTGCAGGGGGGGCAAGCGTGATGGATCATCTCGAGCCCGACGAGCGACATCACAGGAGTCACTGCATTCGCAAACTGCTCCACGACTTTGGCCAGGTGCTGAGAATCTGTCAGCCTCGGCAGCTTCGCTGCCGCGCTGCTGCCCAAGCCTTGGGCATCGTCTTTTGTCGCTGCCATCAAAGGCACCCTTGTCCCGGCAAGGGGTCCCAATTTCGGCAGCGCCTCCAATTTCGTCTGCATCTTCTTCCAAGCATCCATTCCTGTCATCGTCAGAGCGCCTCCGCCCGATTCCACCACCGCATCCACGACTTTACGCAGGTCACTGCCCATCTGACTGAACAAACATCCAACCGCGATGATCGTGTCTGCCCTGTCCTTCTCCAAGCCTTTCGACTTAACTTCTGCGGCGCGTGCCACCTCCAGAGCAGCGACCAGGTTTGTCTCCATCTCCTCCTTCTCCCAGGTCAGCCGTGCAACAATCTGCCTCCACTCCTCCTCTGCTTCCTCTGCCACTCTCACCACCCCATTCATCTTCGCCTCCAGTCCCTCCACCTCGGCTAATAACCTCTCGATCTGCAAAATTTGCAAGTTCATGACCTCCTCGGCTTCGCACATCCTCTCGGTCTCCGACTCCAGCTGCAATGCCCTGGCGACACTGGCCGCCTCCCCTTGCATTCTGACTTCCCTCTCCCTCTCCAGAGCTTCCTCGGCTGCCTGCATTCTCCTCTTCATATCTGCAACAATTATTCTCTCCCTCATCCTGCCAACCTCCTCCTCCTCCTCCTCCTGCAAATCTTCGACACCCAGACTACCAGCAGATGGCGATGACGACAGGACGACCTCGTCCACGTCGTACTCCTCGTCGTGATCTAACTCCGAGCTGCCGCCTCTTCCCAAAGCGGTATAGTCAGGCTGGACCGCAACCACTGAGGCGGGCACACACCCCTCAGCAGGGCACGGTGGTCCACCGCCGCATGGCACCTCTGCTGCACCCTTTCTCGTTGCTTCGTCTTCCACAGAGGGCGACTTCTTCGTGACATCGCCTCCACTCAGCTCAGAAAAAACAACCATACCAGTCACATTTCCGCCCTGGCTCTCTGCTGTTGGGCCCACCCCCTTTTCACCTGCTGCTGCTTCCTTATTCCTGTTCAGTTCTCTCTGAGTCACACGCAGTCCAGACTCCAAGCCTTCCGCCATATGGCCGCCGCTGTGACAGCGTAGTCTCACCACCTCGCTCATAAGTTCGTCGACCCTCCTCTTCTTCTCCTCCACCAGGCCATAAGCCTTAGTCAGCTGCAGATGCATTGCTGAAAGCTCCTCTTTCGCTAACTCCAACTCCTTCCTCAGGTCCTTCACCGTGGCCGTCAACCTCTCCCTCTCGTCTATCACCTTCTTACTGATCCAGCTGTCGTCTTTTCTATGAGAGCGAAAGTCCAGTTCCCGGGCCCATGCTTGGATCTTCATTTTTTCTCCGTCTTGCTCCATGCAACGAGGTTCACTGACACAGGTAACCACCTCCCCTCGTCCTCCTGGCTGCTGCTGCTGCTGCTGCTGCTTTATCACCTCCCTCTCCCACTCCCTCTCCTTCCTGCCCAACACCAGTTTTGCCAGTTTGCTTGCCTTCTGCTGCTGCCTCTCCCACGCATGTGGGACTGCCGGACACTCAATTTTTTCCTGTCCGCATGCTTCAAACACTTTCTCTTTGTTGTCGTCAGAAAATTTAACAAAAGGAGGAGAAGAACAAGGTGGAGGAGGAAGACGACAACGTGGTCCCCCGCCACATCCTTTTCCTCCCGCCGACAGTTCAATTCCCCCCTCCCTTGCCTTCTGCTGCTGCTGCTGCTGCTGCCTCTCCCATGCATGTGCGACTGCCCAACACTCATTTTTTTCTCGTCCGCGTGCTTCAACCACCTTCCTCTCTTTGTTGTCCTCAGAATTGACAACTGGAGGAGGAGGAGGAGGAGGAGAAACAGAAGGAGGTGGAGGAAGACGACGACGTGGTCCCCCACCACATCTTTTTCCTCCCGCCGACAGTTCAATCCCCTCCTCCCTTGGCAGCATTGCCCCCGCCCCCGCCCCCGCCACCGCCGCCGCCGCCGCTTCTGCAGCCTCCTTTCCTTCCATCTCCTTCAACTGCGACCTTACTAGTTTCTCCCGTTCGCTGACCTTCTGTCGTTCCCAAGCCTGTAAGGAAGCTCGAAGCTCTGCAAGCTGTCGTTCCAACTCCACAATCTTCATGTCCTTCTCCTCCACGACCTTGGCGCTCTCCATGGCTCGAGCAGCGATGGCAGCCATCTGGACCTGCAACTCGAGAAGAAACGTTGCCCGCTTCGCCTCCTCACACAAAAGTCTCTGGTTCTCCTTCTCATGTGCCTCAATCACCGCCTCCGCTTGCTTGACTTTCTCCTGCAACAACCTGACCTCGAAATCTCGCCGGTCGATCTCCTGCTGCTGCCTCAAGCTCTCCCCTTCGAGCTCTAACATCCGTCCGACTATCCGCGCTTCTCCTTCCATCCTGTTCTCCTGATCATCTTGTGCCTCCTCCTCCGCGCATGCGGACACATCGCACCTGCGCAAGGGCTCGCGGAAACCGTCGCTGCGAGAACGGCGCAAGGGCTCACGGAAGCCGTCGCTGCGAGTACGGCGCAACGGTTCATGAGAACGACAATCGCTGCCAGTGCGACAAAGGATATTCGCCGTCGTGGTGGTGGTGGTAGTCATGGTGGTATAATTGCTAGTCATAAGGATACGTGATCGAACCCCCGGAGCATCGTTCTCCTTGCCAGGAGAGGCAGGGGAGTTCTCCAACACGGATGAGAGGCCGCCCCGGACTTCGCTACCCGACCCATCGCACGTCCCTGTGGCAAAGATACCACTACTACTACCACTACTAGTGCCACTACTGCTGCCACTACTACCACTACGATAATTCTCAAGGCCAAGTTCCTTAGTGGCCGCAGTAGCGGGTGGCAGGTTCTCCTGCGCTTCTGCTTCTGCTACAGTGAACTCGGCACCTTGGAGTTCGCAGCTTACGCGCAGTGGCAACAACCGCTTTTGGATGCGCGATCTCGTCTTATTAGCCTGCGCCGGCGGCACACATACACCTACGCACCTGCCACCACCTTGCCAACGCTCGCAGGACGTCAAGGACACCGCTGCATCGATGGAATCGCGAAGAAAGCTCTGGATGACATTGTCATTGCTTGGCGACAGGAAAGTGTTGGCGAAGAATTCCCTCGAATCCCTGATCCTGAACTGGCCACTACATGGCCAGGGGGAAGACGGTATAGTACACGCGAGGGGGCTCGCTTCCACCATTCTCCTCTGCTTCTATATTTAGCCCGCTCCACGAGTGTAGACGTTTGCCAGCGGTAAGCAGAGATGACACCGCCTGTCGCTGCCAGCTCTTCTGGGGAATAAAAAACAGGAAACATACACACACGGGGCACTTATTATGCCCATTGTCCAAACAACGGGAAACATGCATGCACATGTACATCTATATGTGTACATATTATGTACAGCCTCCTGATGAGTCGGTGAAACTCCGCCGAAACAGTTTGTCTCAGCCCCTCGTTTCTTGTCCTCTTCTCCCTCCCTCTCTCTGCCTACGGTTTACCAGGCAGCTCTGTTTGACGACATATATTGTATCTATATATAGTCAAACAGAGCCGCCCGATAAACCATAGGCAGAGAGTGAGAAGACTCAGAAGACGACAACAAACAAGGGGCTGTGGCAAACTGTTTCGTCGGAGTTTCACCGACTCATCAGGAGGTGTAGGTATATATATTGTCACAAGAATATCAGAGCGCAAATGCGAAAAAGAAGAAAGAAAAAAAGAAAGAAAAACAGGAATGTATATATATCGTCACAAACAGAACTGCCCGGTAAACCGTAGGCAGAGAGAGAGAAGAGGACAACAAATATAATATATTGTCACATTGTGAATCAGAGCGCAAAAAAGGGAAAAGAAAAAAGGAAAAGGAAAAAAGGGAAAGGGAAGGAGGTAAGGAAAGCTCCACCTGTTCATAACCTCTTACGTACAAGGCCAGCCACGTGGATGACAGGTTGAGCGCTGGCTGCATATATTGTCACATTGGAAATCGGAGCGCAAAGGCGGAAAAGACAAAACAAGAAAAAGAAAAAGAAGGAAGGAAGGAAAGCCCCACCTGTTCGTCACCTCTTACGTACAAGGCCAGCCACGTGGATGACAGGTTGAGCGCTGGCTGCCCCCATCCCCGTGTGTCACAAAGACCCACTTGCACGCAGCCAAAAGGCACAGAGGTAAAGAAAAGGCGGAGGAAAGTTTAACCAAACCTCACAGAAGAAGAAAGCCTATAAAACAGACGAAGCAAGTGACGCATCCCACAGATAATCCAATTACCATCCCACAGAACATATTTTTCTTTCTTCTTTTTTCTTTTTTCTCAGGTTTCTTTTTTTGTGTTTTTCCTTGGTTTCTTTTTTTATTTATTTATTTTTTATCTTTTTACTCGGTTTCTTTTTTTATCTGTTTCTTCTACACTTCATCTGTCACCCCCTCGGCAGATAGGACAACTACGGTGAGGATGACGGGGATGTTCACAGGGATACCCAAGGAGAGTTGCGTTAGTACAGCATTCAGCCGGACGGCTAGCACAAACCATCCCATCGAAACAATCCCGACAGAGGACATGTTGCCCACATGTCAAGAAAACAACAGGACGTTCGTCACAGTGCTGCATCATGAGTTCTGATAGCGTCCTTGGGAACAGAAAGGACAACGTACATCTGGGTGATAGGGATGTGCACAATGAGGAAATGTTAGACACCCTTCCGCACATACAGCGGCAGTCGCAATGGATTGATAATGGTGCTGACACAGATAATGCATTCCACAACCAAGACGCACCACGTCTCTATCCCGACAAATGTCGCACGAGAGACGCTCAACAATCCAGAACAGTGTATGATTCGACAAACCTCGCAAGAATTCATTTATGTTGACAATAACCTGAATCACTGTCCCACCATCCCACAGTTCCCACTGGGCAGCTGCACGAATGAGTGCCATATAGTGCCCGGGTTTGTGCAAAATGCATGCAGAAATATGAGGACGGGCATTAAGGTCCTCGCCTGGCGTCCCATAATGCATGAGAAGGTGGCGACCCTGAAATGCTAACTGTAAGACATTTATAGTAAAGTCTCCTGAGGTAGTATAATTACTATCCTCAGGAGGTAGACCATTATGGTCATACAGCAGCTCATTTTCAACAGCGTCAAGCTGATAAGCAATTGTAAGAAATTGAGATACAGTATAACCTTGACGCTGATAAGCTTGCAGTTCGTGGCTGTCAGGCCACAAATGTTTGGTAGATCTGCTCGCAAATCCGAATCGGTCACCACTGGAAGGCCCGGTCTGATTTGGCACGGTCGGCGTTTAATTGACGAACGCCGTCGACGTACCAAAGCAGGTTGTCGGTCA